ACTTCAGTGTTGGGTCAGCTCCTTGGCATTTGGCCCATGCCACAGGGAGAATACCAGGAGTCCTGCCCAACAGGGACGGAGGAGCTGGGCCCAGAACGTAGCTTTCCCTCCGGGTCCTTCCTTCGAGTGTGTCTGAGCACAGCAGGGCCCGCCCAGGCCGCTCCCCAGCACGCACACTTAGGCTTAAAGCCCGTCCCTCTTGTGGAGACCCTAGTGACTGGGCCACACCCCAGCCATACCTCTTCCTGCCACTTACGGCCCTCAGGGTTCTGACTCTAGACATAGCCACCTATTTTTCAGCTGTGTTCCATACTGTATGTGGTAGACAGCACCCACCCATCCACTAAACAATCCCATTAAAACTTTTTGATGCTTTAGATTCTAAAATCAGTGATTTTCAAAACTCAGTACATACCAAAATCACCTGGGGCCCTTTTTCTAAAGTACCTATTCCCAGACTCTGGATATGTTGATTTAGGTCTTGGGTGGAGCTGGGAATTTCTTTTAAAAAAACCCCTAGGGGGTTCTACTTGGCAGGCAGGTTTAGGGATGGATATTCTAAGCAGCACACTTCTATGTAAGTAACACAGAACTTTGTCTACAATATAAGCAATGGGGACAGATTTTTAAATTGTAGGAACTACTAAGTTTTCCCATTAGGAGTCTGTCGTTTAAAAGCCTTCTTTCACATAAAGGTGTTTGTCGAGTTGGAGAAAGATCTCCTCTGTCACAGCTTATATCTTCTGCATTTCCAACGTCTACAGCCTCATCACAAGTATTTGGGTAGCTGCACTTATACACACTTGATACTTGAGTGTCTCTCACATTAGTCACCTTTTCTTTATACATGATTACAGCTTGTTTCAACAGAGACTTCCCGAGAAAGGAAGTGATCTTTACTTAACAATTAATTACTAAACTGGTGGCTCAGCCATCCGACCTGGTCTTATTTAGAGAGCTCTTGTAACAATTTAATGGCTCAAAGTAGCCCTAGTTCCATGCTCTGATACAGAATTAATAATGATTAATAAGGAATGTATTATGTGGGAGCCATGTCAAGGTGACTATATTAGGACAAATGGCTGTTTTAGATGATTTATGCATGAATTTAAACTGACACTGCTTGATTTTTAAACCCATACAAGCAGCAATGGGGTTTTAAATCTTTTTACCAGTCTATAAATCCCTGGAATGACCGTTTTCACACTTTTTTAAACCTACATCAAAGATCAGCTGTATCTTCCAAGCATCTGAGTCCATGCTGAGTAGAAATAAGCACGCACAGAACAGGGAGCAGTGTGACAGGCTCACTGTCTTATAGGCAGAGGACCATGTAGGTGAGTGACCTTCCTAAGGCAGGAGGGCTCTGTCCTTGCCTCCGGGGGAGCTGCAGGAAATGTCACTTTCGGGACGAGGGTTTACACGGATATTTCAAAGAAATATGGAGCAACTACCCATTTCCGTGCATCTGTGATGTTCTCAGCTTCTCCAGGTACTGCCAGGCCCCCACGTGTCCACCCTTCCTTGCACCCTCCACCCCTGGCCGTCCACAACTCTGGTCTGTCCCCCGAGGAGCCCCAGGCCATGCGGCGCGATGCCTCAGTCAGGCCTCCACTCTGGCGGTGACCATCCTGCCAACTCACTGCCCTTTGTCGTTTCTTTCTCCATCATCCAGTCACAGAAGGTGCTATCACGTCCCTTATTTTTGTCTTAGTTGATTAATTGCTTCTCTCTACACTTTCAAGGAACCTCTCTCTGCCATCAGGTGACATCACCACGCCTGAGGAGTACACTGCTGTAAAAATCTTGCACGTTGGGACGTTGTTGTTCTGGTCTTTACTCCCTCAAATCTCTCCCCGAAAATGACCAGGGATGTCTTTTCCTGTATTTTTCATTACGTCTTGCTCTCACCAAAAACCTTCAATAGACTCAGTATTCTCAGTAAAATTACAACTCTTCAAACTCTGACGGACTGAAGCAACTGGTTTGCAGCCTCTGTCTCTGCAAATCCGCCCCAGAAATGGCCTTAATACGAGTTGTGAAGTATTTTTTTCATGTTATGTTCTGCGCAAAGGGCCTCACCGCTCCTACGGCCTCCACAGCAGGCTCCCGCCAACGCACCTTGCAAAGCCCCTCAGTGTCCGCTGTCACCTGAACTCCCCGTTATGTCCCACACACGCCTCGGCCAGCTGATCTCTTTCCTTTTACCTGAAATGTCCGCCTTGAGCCACCTCTTCTCCTTCCCAAATGTCAATCATCCTTTAAGGCTTAGCTTCAGTCCCGCCTCCTGATTACACGTCCTGCGAGAGTCATCAGACCACACTCCTTTCACCTCTAAGCAAATCTATTTGCTCATTTTCAACTGAATCAAGTAACACCTTTAATTTTATACAGTCATGCCATCAGTAGAGTGTGTCTGCAACGTGGCCACTCCAAAGCCACAACAAACAAAGAACTGATTCTTTATGGGAAGCTGATGTCTGAACACCGAACACTGCTCCAAAGCCAGGAAACAGCCTCTCAGCCTTAAAGGGTCTCTAACCTGGAGTTTCTTGGGGGGCTAATCTCTCCAGGTGCCTGACACCCAGTCCCACAGCAAGAAACGCCAGCCTCATGCATTTACATGTCGGTGCAGGTACAATAACGAGGAGGGCTCTCAGGCCCCTTTCTGATGCGGGAATCCCCTTACCCACCTCCCGCGTGGGCAGGGCGGGGGCCTCCGCCGGCTTGCTCTGCGTGCACGAGCACTCATGTCTTGGCTCTCACTACTAGTTGTAAGCAGTTCTTCGTCTTCCTTGGGCTGGTCCTGTTTACTCCAGAAATGGCTCCTTGAGGGCAAGAGGGGTCCCTTGTATCACGAGTGTGGAGAGTGCGCGTGTGCTCGGGAGATGGTCACAGCGCCAACTCCGGCCTCTGTGTTCTGCGCCAAGTGGCTGGGAGGCCTTAACGTCCACTCGAGGGCAGGATGTCTTTAAAAAGAAGGTGGTGGGGAGAGAGGTTTGAACTCAAACAGATGTCTAAGTCTGAATTTTCTGCAAAAGCAAAACAAAAAAGGGTATAACAAAATATGACCTTCCTCAGTTTAAAGGTCACTTCCTTATAACGCCTCACCACTAACCACACCCAGTCTAAGTCGGGTTGTCGGGTTTCTTCGATTTAAAATTTCTTTGAATTTTGTTCCTTTACTTCAGAATACTTCTCTGAATACTTGCTCAGAGCACTACAGAAGAGGGGGTAACCGGAGTTTCGGGGCGATTAGTCCATCAGTATGTTCCTTGCCCCGCGGAGCAGAGGGGGCCATCACTGATGGGAAGCTCCGTGTGTGTCTTTTCCTGTCAAGCACCTGTTAGGCCCACGAAGCGGAAGCATGCTCACGGTGCTTCTCGGCGACGCAGTGACACAGCTGGTGACCTGACTCACTTCCAAGCAGGGCTGCAGGGCTGCGGGGCTGGGGCCTGGGGAGGAGGACGGACTAGCCGTCAGCTGGCTGCACCGGGCACACGCACGTATCCGAGGTGTGAACTTTCCACTTTACCAATGTTTTGCCTGGAGACAAGCTGGAACATTGGCAACAGGAAGGAATTAAAAACAAATGTCTAAGTGAAACCCAGACTTCTGCTCAGGCGTTGGATCTGCAGCCCACAGTAGGAGCTCAGCAAGGAAGCGCCCAGCGTCCGTTTGGGGAGAGGAAACTGCTAGCTGGCTCTTGGCAGCCGGTGCCTGCGCGCGGTCGCCACAAGTCCCCTCTGGTGACCCGGGCTAGAGCCCGCGGTTCTAGGAGCGGGGGCGCCACAGTCAGGACGCGCATCTGCCCCGGTTTCCCTCCACGGGCTCCTGGGTGGGGCCGGGCTGCGGGGTGGGTGCGGCTCCTGTCCCCGCGGTGTCCGCTGGAGACCCCGAGGGTCAGGGCGAGAGACGGGAGGAGGGGCACCTGGGGGGAGAGGTGCTGACCGGGAAGTCGGGCTGCAAGGCCGCCCCGCGGGAGGGAATCCAACCCCAAAACTGCAGTGGCTTCGCCTGGAAAAAAGGGGAGGCGGGAGGGGCGGGGACACGGGGCGCAGGAGAAATGGGGGCGAGGCAGGCAGCGGAGGGGACCGGCGGGAAGCCAGGCGAGTCCTCCTCCCGCAGGCTGCCTCCCTCAGGCCCCCCGGGAGCTGGAAGGCTCCCGGGCGCGGGGTCCGGGGCGCCAGGAGCCCTCGGTTCCCGAGCCCGGGGCAGCGCC